GGAGGAGGAGGAGGAGGAGGAGGAAGAGGAGGAGGAGGAGGAGGAGGAGGACGGGGAAGAGGGGGAGGCGAGAGAAGAGGAGGAGGAGGAGGAGAGAGAAGGAGGAGAGGAGAGGAGGAGGAGGACGGATGGCAGGGAGGATGAGGAGGAGAGAGGAGGACGGAGGGCAGGGAGGAGGAGGCGGAGGGGGAGGGGGGGGAGGAGACTGACGCCTCGAGCGCTCGCTTCCGCTTCCGCGGCATGCCCAAGAAAGGGAAGAGGAGGAGGAGGAGGAGGAGGAGGAGGAGGCGAAGGAGGCGGAGAAAGGAGGAGGAGGAGGAGGAGGAGAAGAAGGAGGAATACGACGCAGGCTGCGCAGTGAGCTCCGACGCAGCCTGCGGGCCTCCCGCGGAGCCGAGCGCGGCAAGCACACGCCGGGCCCCCACGCGTCCCGAGGATCACCGAGGCTGGCGAGGGCACGCGCTCAGAGCGGGGCCCGCGGGCTTGAGCCGGGGTGGCTGCGGCAGGATCGGGGGACATGACCCCTGAGGCCTCTGACGAACGCTTCTCCTCCGCCTCCTCCTCCTCCTCCTCCTCCTCCTCCTCCTCCTCCTCCTCCTCCTCCAGATTCTCCTCCTCCTCCTCCAGATCCTCCTCCTCCTCCTCCTCCTCCTCCTCCTCCTCCTCCTCCTCCTCCTCCTCCTGATCCCCCTTCTTCCCCCCCCCTCGCCCTCCCCCTCATGATAGGCCCGCGGCAGGATCGGGGGAGGCCGGCCCGAGCCCCGAAACCCCGAGGCTGCCCAGGCTGTCGGGCTCGAAGCTCGGGGCCGCCGGGCGCTTTTTTCGTCGGTCCTCGGCGGCTCTCCGGCCTCGGGGGGGCTTTCCGAGCGGCGGCGCCTCGCCGAGAGGAGGAGGAGGAGGAGGAGGAGGAGGAGGAGGAGGAGGAGGGGGAGGAGGACCCCTGACCCCCTTTGTGTTGCTTTCGCCGCGCCCAGAGGACTCGTGGGGCGGCCCCCGGAGGCCCCCGGATGTCCCAGGCCGGCTGGAGTCCCGAGGGCCCCCGAGCGCCTCGAGGCTCGAGCTGCGATCCTCGGACCAGGGCGCCGGAGAGCCGAGCTGTGACCCGAAAACCGCCAAGGGTCAGGCCGACACTGAGATCCTGGCGTCGCGCTTTTTAAATCGCAGCGGGAGGCCGGGGCCCTCGCGGCTCGATGCGGCTCAAAGGATGCCGCAGGATGGTGGGGCCCAGGGCTCTGGTCGAGTGTTTTCGTTTGTTTTGTTTGTGCTTGATGCTCGCGTCGCGGGGTCTCAGGGATCCTCGACGATCGAGCGAGGATCGATTGCAACTCTTTCGCGACATCGGATTTCGGTGGAGAGCACGCGTGCAGTGAGGGACCTACGGACTTGAGCCGAGGTGGCTGCGGCAGGATCGGGGGGCATCACCCCTGAGGCCTCTGACGAACGCTTCTCCTCCGCCTCCTCCTCCTCAGCATCTTCATCCTCCTCCTCCTCCTCCGCCTCCTCCTCAGCATCTTCATCCTCCTCCTCCTCCTCCTCCTCCTCCTCCTCCTCCTCCTCCTCCTCCTGATCCTCCTTCTTCCCTCCCCCTCCCCCTCCCCCTCCCCCTCCCCCTCATGAGGCCCTTAGTCGTTCTCAACCGCGGCGCCTCGCTTGGCATCCGGCCTCCGAGGAGCCGCTGTCAGGCCCAGGGGCCCACCCGCGGAGTCGCCCCAGGCCCCCGAGGTCCGGCGCCCCCTCCCCGAGGGAGGCTGCTTGCCATCCTGGGGCCACGCCGTGGCCCACGGGCGCCAAAGGCCGAGCGCTGTCGGGCGTCTCGGCCCCTCGCCCCTCCGAGGGGCCGCGCTCCCAAGACGCGCCCCCGAGTCAAGAGAAGATCAGGACGTGGGGCGTTGCTCTCTTCGAGGCTTCCGGGGGCCCCAGCCGGGCCTCGGGACCGCCAAAGAGCTCGGGGATCTTCTGACCCGGGTCAATCCAGACCCGGGTCAGCAGGAAACCAAAAACTGCAATACAGGAAAAAAAAACTGCACCGCAGGTCTTCGCAGACCCGGGTCAGCCAATACGCGCGGCCGCCTCGCGGCCACGAGCGGCTCCCTGACCCGGGTCAGCCAGAGGGGGTCTTCGCAGGATCCTGCAGGATCTGGCGCCCTGGCTGACCCCCGTTTGCACTGACCCCCGTCTCGAGGCTCCCGAAGAGCGATTCGGGACGGAAGCCCGGCACCGGGGAAGGGGTCGAAGACCCCTGGGGGTCGAGACTTCTGGGGAACGACACGTCTCGGCCCCTCACCACTCTGAGGAGCAACGTCAGGGGGAGTCCAGCTCTGGGGGGGGTGGGGGGGACATCGAGCTCGAGGCGGGCCCCCGAATCCGCAGGCTGCTGGGCAATGTGGGCCATTGGGCGCATGTCCGCTGAGGAGTGGGCGATTGGGAGTCGATGCATCCCCCGCTTAGCCTATCCCGCCCCAGGGTCCTCGTCGTCTGACTTTCGGATCATAACTCGGATCATAACTCGGAAGGCTCGCAAGTCCCCCGGCCTTCTGACAAGTTTTCGGAGCCTTCCCCGAAGACACCAGAAACCTTCTCAGAAGGTGCGAGGCCTTCTGAGAAGTCCCGCCGCCTTCTGAGAAAGCCTTCTCCTTCTCACTTCCCCCTCTCGCTCGCCGCCGACCAATGATCATCGTCGCCTGGCTTCTGGATCGTACTTCAAGTCTCTGGCGGCCGTTCGGGACGATCCGGGCACCTCTGGACGCTTCCCGGCGAGGCGCAGCTGCCGCAACGCGCCCCGAGACTGGAAAGCCGCTGAAAAACGACGGAAACATCGAAACCTTGAGCCTCGAACCCGAAACTTCCCCCCCGGGGCCTATCCCCTGACATCCGACGCATTGTTTTTTGGCAAAGTGGGCTCCCGGGGGAGAGGACCTTTTGACCTTGCTCTGGTGGGCTTTCCCTGATGGACAGGGACCCTCGGTCAACATCACCCTCTCGCAGGGAACTGCATCCCACTCTTCGGCGGCAACCCTCTGGAGAGCCTTGACAAAACGCTCAGCCCCGCTTTCGTGGGAGGCCGAGGCGGCGTGAGAGTGAGGGGGCATTGCCCAGCGAGGAGCTGAGCAGTATCGACACAGTACCTCCCGCACACCGTGCAAAACAACACTCCTCTGAAAACGCACAGATGATGAGAGGAGTGGGCCCTGGGGAAAGCTGGATGGCGAGGCGCAGCGGCTGGAGGGGGGGGGGAGAGGAGGAGGAGGGGGATGGAGAAGGAGGAGGAGGAGGAGGAGGAGGAGGAGGAGGAGGAGGCTGGCCCAGGGCTCTGTGGCTTTACGCTCGCGACGTCCATCCGCGCTCCCGCCGAGCATCGGGCCAACGCCTCGTCCGGAGCCGTCTCGCTACGGCCCACGGGCCGAACGCGAGCCCGGGGAGGCCGCAGCTGCAGGAAAAAAAACATCTGCCCAAGACGCTGGACCTCTGGCCCCCCCCGCGTGCAGCGCTTCCCGAGGCCCCGCCGCACGCGGTGCGACAGTAGCGTCTGGTGCGCTCGTGTTTGGCCCCCCCGCGGCCCCCCAAGGTCACTCTTACCCAGGGTTGCTCTTGTGTGTAGCCGCTGCCGCGGCGTTCTCCCTCCCGGGTGGGTCCCTTTCGGGGCGGCTCGGGCACCCACTGGGAGCTGCCCCAGCCCGAGCACACCTGGAGGCCTCCCAGACGGGGACCGAGCAGATGGGGCCGGGGGCTCGCGCCTCATCGCCGATGCATCGGCGACGTCGGCGAGGAGACAGCTGGGCTCCACATCGAGCCGCACCGCCGATGCATCGGCGACGCGGCGCGATCCCCCGAACCCGTCTCCAGACGCCCGCCGCCTCGACGAGTTCGAGGCACGGGCCCCCGACCTTTCGACCACTTCCCCGGGACCAGCTCGTCATCCCGAGCCGTTTTTGACGGTCCCGAGGCTAGAGGCCGAAAACGATAAAAACGATAAAAAAAACAATAAAAAAGAACAAACAAAACAAAACAAAAAAACTCCGTCTCGACGTTTTCGGGACGCCGCCCCCGGCGTGTTCCGTCCTGTGTTTGTGGCGCTCCTGCGGGCCCCCTCGTCGCATCGGCTGGAGATCCCGACTCCACAGACGGCCCTGGAGGGACCCTGGGCCCGGGCTCGAACGCATCCCTATCCCTAAGATTGACACGCCAAAAAGGCGATGACCATCTTCGGGAGTCGCCCTCAAAAAAGAAGGGAACCCCTAAGATTGGCACTCGTGACGAGGAGGTGCCCAGCATAGGGATAGGGTTATGTTCCAGGCTGGGAAACCCCTCAGGGGGCCCGGGCTCAGGGGCCGCCTCCGCGAGCGGCGTTGTGGGCTGGCCGGGAGCGCTGCCGCTGCCTCGGACCCGCCCTCCTCCGAGGCGTGCCCGAGCAGGGGAGCCCCTCGATCCGGGCGGGGTCCGGGAGGCGCTTCCGAGCGGAGCCGGGGGCGGCGGCAGCCTCGCTGTCTCGACGCCTGGGCCTGCCCCGATGTCTGGGCCTTCGAGAACAGAAGACCTTCCGCCAGCCAACGCACCCCGAACCCTGAGATCGCCGCCCCCCAGGATGTACAAGAGCACCCACCAAACACAGAGAACACCAGGGCACCCCCTACAAAGCGACCTCGATGTCGGCGCAGACGAGCCCGATTTTTGCCCGCCGCTCATTGAGCACGGTTCTGAGCGGAGGTTTGGGGGCCGGGCGGTGGAATCCCCGAAGTCTCGATGTCTGCTCGTCAAGTAGGAGATCGACGGCAGAGCACGCGCACAACGCACCGTAGCTTCACGAACAGCCCACGTGCTTGCTCAATAGATCCGACGCACCGATTAGATCCCGGGGCACACGAATCCTGCAGTCGATCTCGTACTCGAGCGCGGACCACCCCTGGGAGGCCGAGCGCAACGCGCCGCGGACCAGCGCCGAGGGGCCGCCGAGGGGCCCGGCCGCTGCGCGCGAGGGCGGGCCCCGTCCCCGGGGGGGGCGCCTCGGCCTCGTGCGCGGCCCCGCACTGTAGGCGGTCGTCCTGCGTGGGGAGCTTGCTTTCCACCACCACCACCACCACCACCATGAGTAGGCTGGGGAGGGGCTCCTCCTCCTCCTCCTCCTCCTCCTCCTCCTCCTCCTCCTCCTCCTCCTCCTCCTCCTCCCCCTCCTCCTCCTCCTCCTCCACCTCCTCCTCCCCCTTCTCCAACTTCTGGTAGAGGTGGTGGAAAACAGGCCCAGCACTGCGGGCGAAGAGCGGCGGCGCGGGGTGGGGGGACGCGTGGGGAGATCCGGCGGCAACTCACGGGGGCCTGCCATGCCGTCTCGTCGGCTCCTGCGAATCGGCGCTCCTCAACGCTCGTCAACGCGAATCGGCGCTGCATTGGCGCTGGATCGACGCTGGTCGGCGCCAGATCGACGCCGATTCGGCGCTATCTCAACAGCTCCTAGATGCTACTCGACCGCTGGCCGACGCTAAAGACGGAAATAAGAAGTTACACCAGGCTCCCGAAGCGTCTTCGGCAGCGTCGAGTAGCATCTGTTTGTCAGCGTCGAAGCGTCTTCGGCAGCGTCTGTTTGTCAGCGTCGAGTAGCAGCGTCGAAGCGTCTTCGGCAGCGTCGAGTGCATTTGTTTGTTTGTCCCTGGGCCTTTTTCGTCTTCGGCAGCGTCGAGTAGCTGGGCTCCCATGATTTGCTGCCGAAGACGAAAAAGGCCCAGGGACAAACAAACAAATGCAGCACCCCGCAGCCGCGGATAAGGGCGAAAGGGGCGGGCGCGGAGTGGGTCGCGGGGTGGGTCACGGGTGGGTCGTGGGCGGGCCGACGACAACAACAGCAACAACAACAACAACGCAACAACAACAACGAAACAACAGCAACAACAACAACAACAACAACAACAACAACAACAACAACAATAACAACAACAACAACAACAGCAACAACAACAACGACAACAACAACGACAATTACTAGCACGTGGGGACACTCCGTTCTCACCAGTGCCAGGGTTTTCACAAAAGGCGGGCAATACCCCCACTTTGTGGGGGGGCCGGTTCAAGCTCTACCAAATTTCCAAACGACTCTTCGCCACCACCCGCACCCAGCTTCCCGCCCTATGACGTTCGGACACTTCACTTCGTGGCATGCGGACGACCGTGGCTACTATTCAGGGCCCCGCGGCCGACGACGACGGCGTGCGCGCGCGAAGAAAAAACGAATGTGTCCCGCATGGTATTATTTGACAGGGATGATGGCCCTGGCAGGTGCGCAACCGTTGTCGCAGAAGTTCGAAAAAGTTGCTCGCAAAAGCCCGTTTGACAGAAATGTTTAAAAAGTGTTGGGTTTCCTACGAATCCGCAAGAGCGCGCGGGATGAGATTTTGACAATTTTTTGTTGAAAAACCATTGGTTTTTTGATGTTTTTATGTTAAAATCGCTGCGAACACTAAGGTTTTGGAAGGATTTCGTCTTGCGCGCGCGAATGTCCACTTTACCTTATTTTTTGCAAGGGATTCTTGAAATTTGATTATATTAGAACAAGAAATGTCATTTTCTATTGTTTTTTGCAAGGGAAAGCGGATTACAACAAAACAACCGGATCCTGTACACACCCTCTTTTCTGAGGCTTCCTCACGAAAATGATGAAAATGTAGCTGCGGCCTAGGCGGCGCAGGGGGGGCGCGCACCAGGGGGCCCAACAATAATTATTCTTTAGAATAAATAATGTTCAACAACAACAACAACAACAACAACAACAACAACAACAACAATCATTTTACCCGAACGCGTGGTGTTCTCCCCAGTGCCAGGGTTTTCATACGACACCAGGCAATACCCCCACTTCGTGGGGGGGCATTACAAGCTCTACCAAATATCCAAACGACTCTTCGCGACCACCCAAACCCAGCTTCCCGCCCTATGACGTTGGGACACTTCACTTCGTGGCGTGCGGACGACCGTGGCTACTACACTGGCGTGGGGTACACACCCACAGAACTTAAGAACCCAATGGTTTTTGGAGATTTCGGCGTGCGCGCGCGAAGAAAAAACGAATGTGTCCCGCATGGTATTATTTGACAGGGATGATGGCCCTGGCAGGTGCGCAACCGTTGTCGCAGAAGTTCGAAAAAGTTGCTCGCAAAAGCCCGTTTGACAGAAATGTTTAAAAAGTGTTGGGTTTCCTACGAATCCGCAAGAGCGCGCGGGATGAGATTTTGACATTTTTTTGTTGAAAAACCATTGGTTTTTTGATGTTTTTATGTTAAAATCGCTCCGAACACTAAGCTTTTGGAAGGATTTCGTCTTGCGCGCGCGAATGTCCACTTTACCTTATTTTTTTACAAGGGATTCTTGAAATTTGATAATATTTGAACAAGAAATTTCATTTTATAGTGTTTTTTGCAAGGGAAAGCGGATTACAACAAAACAACCGGATCTTGATCACCTCGAATTACCTGAGGCTTCCTCACGAAAATGATGAAAACGTGGCTGCGGCCTAGGCGCGGCGGGGGGGGCGCGCACCAGGGGGCCCAACAATAAATATTCTTTAGAATTAATAATGTTCAACAACAACAACAACAACAACAGCAACAACAACAATCAGCTTCAGACTGTTCGCTCCTATCTGATTACGCGCCAATCCATACATATATCCCAAACCCTGGGTACCCACCCTCGTCGTTTTCGATCGTACCCACATTTGGGGTATATCGTCGTCCTTACCTGCCACGTGCATTTGGTGCAGCCCCAAAAAACAACGGAAAAGCGGACGGGTGGAAGGGGGAGGGAGAAGAATGGAGCAGGAGAGAAATTGGCAGGACGGGGGGCAAGGAGCAGGAAACAAGGGGTAGAACCAGACGGGCACATCGGGTGGGTAGACCCATAGCGGACAGGTCGGGAAGGCGGGCCCAGGCGACCAGGTCGAGCAGGCGGGTTGCTGAAGCGTGCGTCCTGCATGAACAACGAGGAAGTCTCGAGCGATACCGCGATGCCCAAGTAAAGTCTGAGAAAAACCAAAGCGGAAGCGTGATTCCTGAGCGCCGAAGGCGCATCGTCTGAATAATTTGCAAGGAAGTCCCACACGAGAGCGCGATGCGTACATGAATTGTGAGGAAGTCCCTCGCGAGAGCACGCTTAGGGAATAAAGCGTAAGGAAGTCTCAGGCGGGAGCCGTTGTTGTTGTAACTCGGGGGGCCAAGGGCCAAGTTTGAGCCGAGTGACTTTCCTTGACAAAAACCGGGTGCGAGCTCCAGGGGAAGCACTTCGATTGAAAAACACAATGGGCTCCTGAGAGGGGGATCAACAATAATGATTCTTCAGTAGTGAAAGTTCAACAACGACAACAACAACAACAACCACAACAACAACAGCAACAGCAACAGCAACAGCAACAGCAACAGCAACAGCAACAACAACAAGGCATCAACGCCTATGTGTGCCCCTCCCGACCCACGAGGGGGGGGGCAGCAGCCAGCAGCCAGCACTCACACAAACAACTAACCACAAAATCCACTCGGACCCATATAGGGGTCAACTCGGCCCTGCCTTCGCCAGACGATCGCGCGCTGGCGAACGCCTCTGGTTGCCTCCTCTTATGGGATCCTGTTAGGGATGGATGGAGCTCGAATCGGATCCTGTTAGGGATGGATGGAGTTCTACTAGGATCCTGCTAGGGATGGATGAAGGTGACGGAAAGAGCGAGGTACGAGTGATGACGTTGCGTTTGGGCGAAGCCCTCTAGGGAGGGGTCCAGGGCAAGGGGGAAGGCCATAAGGATGCGGTATAGTGGCCGCTCGGGGCGTCTTGGAAGCCTCTTGGGCGCTTCTTGGGCCGTCTTGGGCGCTCAAGACGGCCCAAGAGGGGTCCAAGACGACCAAAGATACCTCCAAGACGGCCCAAGAGCGCTCCAAGAGAGCCCAAGACCGCCCAAGACGGCCCAAGAGGCCTCCAAGACGCCCCAAGAGGCGCCCAAGGAGCGTCCCAAGAGGCCACCAGGAGACCAAAAACATTGATATTCCTTAGGGAAACGTGCATTTTGAGCATACGCTACGTTTCTGCCTCCACGGCGTCGACGACGGCCCAAGAGACATCCAAAACCGCCCCAGGACGGCCCAAGAGGCTCCCAAGAGGCCCCCAAAACGGCCCGATAGGGCCCCAACACGGCCCAAGAGGCGCCCAAGACGGCCCAAGGGGGCCCCAAGACGGCCCCAAGAGGGGGACCACGAACCGAAAAGTCTAGCCTTTCGCCCCAAGAAGCCCCCAGGAGACCCCAAGAGGCCCCAAGAGGCCCCCCAAGAGGCCCCAGGAGGCCAAAAACATTAATTTCCAATAGGGAAACATACATGTTTAGCATACACGGTTTTTCGGCTTTCACTGCGTTGACGACGGCCCAAGAGGCCCCCAAAACCGCCCCAAGACGGCCCAAGAGGCTCTCAAGAGGCCCCCAAAACTGCCCAAGAGGGCCTCAAGACGGCCCAAGAGGCGCCCAAGACGGCCGAAGAGAGCCCCAAGACGGCCCCAAGAGGGGGACCACGAACCGAACAGTCTAGCCTTTCGCCCCAAGACGCCTCCAGGAGGCCCCAAGAGCCCCCAAAGAAGCCCCAAGAGGCCCCCAAGAGGCGTCCCAAGAGGCCACCAGGAGGCCAAACGCATTGATTTCCTACAGGAAAACATACGTGTTTAGCATACACGGCGTTTCGGCTTTCACGGCGTTGATGAAGGCCCAGGATGGGGCCACGACGGGCGACTGCGAGCGGCCACGAAGGGCATAGAATGCGGGGCCACAATGGCCAGCGACGGGGCCACTGAGGGCAGCAACAGGGCCACGAAGGGCAGCGAGCGAAGGCGACCGCGGAACCAGTGCGGGCAGCGAGAGGCATCGAAGGCAGCGAAGGGCAGCGAGCGGCGACTGCAGTCCCTAGCGGGCTGGTCGGGCGGGCAGGCCCAGACGGGCGGGTCGTTGGCGGGTCGTTGAAGCGTAAATTCTGCTTGAACCGCCAGGCAATATGTAGCGGGAGCGCCATTCCTGAGTGTCGAGGAGCGGCATCTGAATAAATTGTGAGGAAGTATCAAACGGGAACCGCGATTCGGTGGTAAGTTGCGAAGAAGTCCCACGCGAGAGCGCGATTCTTCAATAAATTGTGAGGAAGTGTAAAGCGGGAGCCGCGATCCGGTGGTAAATTGTAAGGAAGTCCACAGCGAGAGCGCGATTCTTCAAAAAAAGTCAGGAAGTATCAGGCGGGAGCCGATGTTGTTGTAAACCAGGGGCCAACAACACAGTTTGACCCTCAAGACTTTCCCTGATGAAAAACAGGGCGCGAGCCCAGGGAAGGGCACTTCAATCGGAAAAACAATGTGCACCGGATGGGGGGGATCAACAAAAATTATTCTTCCGACATGAGAGTTCAACAACAACAACAACAACAACAACAACAACAACAACAACAACGACAACGACAACGACAACGACAACGACAACGACAACGACAACGACAACGACAACGACAACAACAACGACGACGACAACAACAACAACAACAAACATTTTAAGACTGGTCGCTCTTATCTGCTCGAGTGTCCGTTAACGCGTATTTCCCAAACCCTCGAAACCCGCCCTCTTTGTCTTCGATCGTACCCCTTTTGGGGGGTAAACCTTTCTTCCCTGCAGGCTGGGCCCCAGCAAGCGGCGTGGCGGCCGCGGACCGTCGGCCTGGCCAGCGGCAGCGCTGATCGGCGGCAACCCGACCCCAAGAGGGACGGACAGGGGACCGACCACGACGACGACGACGACGTCGACGACGACGTCGACGTCGACGACAACGGCGACGACGACGAGCGACGACGACGACGACGACGACGACGACGAGCGAAAGCGAGAGAGAGAACGACAGCGGGGCCACCAAGATCACGAAGTAGGCCACGAAGGGCGACAGCGGGGACACGAAGGGAATGCGTATGGGGCCACGAAGAGCGCGAAAGAGCGGGGGCCACGAAGGGCAGATAATGCGGGGCCACCGAAGGCAAAGAGGGGGCCATTGAAGGTAGCAACTGGGCCACGTAGGACAGCGAGGGGGGCACGAAGGGCGACAGCGGGGCTACGAAGGGCATGCAAATGGGGCCACGACGGGCGCGAACGAGCGGGGGCCACGAAGGGCATACATATATAGGGCCGCGGAACGCAAAGACGGGGCCACTGAGGGCGGCAACGGGGCCACGAAGGGCAGCGAGGGGGCCACAAAGGGCGACAGCGGGGCCACGAAGGGCATGCACATGGGGCCACGACGGGCGCGAACGAGCGGGGGCCACAAAAGGCATACATGTACGATCATGGGCTCCAGGCCCACGGGCCCCCCCCCCCAGATGGTATGGTCCCAGGATTCCTCGGGCCCCCACCCCCCCCAGATGGTATGGTCCCAGAGACGACGACCACGACGACGACGACGACGACGACGACGACGACGACAACGACGACGACGGCGACGGCGACGACGACGGCGACGGCGACGACGACGACGACGACCACGACGACGACCACGACGACGACGACGGCTGCGGCGGCGACGACGCTGGCGGCGGCGGCGGCGACGACGACGATGACGACGATGACGACGGCGACGACGACGACGATGACGACGACGACGACGACGACGACGACGACGACGACGAGGACGACGACGACGACGAGGACGACGAGGACGACGACGACGACGACGACGACGACGACGACGACGACGACGACGACGGCGACGACGACGACGACGACGACGACGACGACGACGACGAACCACCACAGCACCACACCATATCCACAGGGGGGGGGGAGGGGGGCACCGCAGCGCAGCACCACGCCACGCCCACCTCTGAACCACCACAGCACCACACCACATCCACAGGGGGGGGGGGGGCACCGCAGCGCAGCACCACGCCACGCCCACAGGGGGGGGCGGGGGGGACCATCGCGCGGGGGGGGGGGCCAATGGCATCAGCACTGGGGGGGGGGGAGGGGCCAAGCCCTGGACCATATATGGGGCCACGGAGGGCAGCCAGGGGGCCACGAAGGGCTGCAACGGAGCCACGAAGGGCAGCGAGGGGGCCACGAAGGGACGCAACGGGGCCACGGATCGAGCTTCGAGGATCGACGTTCGAGCTCGGATGGGGGAACCGTGGATGTGGCACCCTCGCGCCAGACCCACGGGTCCCTGATCCATGTGGGGCGCGCGCCCGAGATGCGCGCAGGGTGGGGAGGTCAGGGCTCGAAGTTCGCAGTGTTCGCGCGCCCTCGTCGGTTTCTCAGCGATTTTCCGGCCTCGGGATGCGATGCACCCTCGCGGCGCCGCGCCGGGAGGCGTCCCAGGGGTGACCGGATCGCCCCGACGGGCCGCCGGAGACCACGGCAGTGCGGCGGAAAGCCAGGGACTCGGCGGCGCGCCGAGGGGGGGAAGCGAGAGGGGCAGGCCTGCTCAGACGGCGGCGGGGCATCTCAGAAGGCCTCGCGCCTTCTGAAAGGTCGTCTGCGCTCCTGGATAGAGAGAGAGAGAGAGAGAGAGAGAAAAAAAAAAAAAAAAAAAAAAAAAAAAAAAACGGGGGGAAGCTCGCCAAAAGGCCAGTGGCCGTCTGGGAAGTCGCCTGCGCTGCTCGGAAAAATGGGACAGCTGGTCAAAAAGGGCCAGAGGCCTTCGGGGCCCTCTGGAAAGGCCCGCCCCCTCTGCCTCCTCACTTCGGCGCGGCGCCGCGAAGAAGAAGGGGCGGAAGGCGGGGGCGCTGGGGGCAGCTCGCGGCCCAGTGCGGCCGCGGACACACGAGGAGGAAGAGGAGGAGGAGGATGAGGAGGAGAAGGAAAGGGAAGGGGAAGAGGAGGAGGAGGAGGAGGAGGAGGAGGCGAGCGCACGAGATCAGGAGGAAAAAAGGGGAGGTGCTAAGGCGCTGGGAAGAGAACCAGGACCCCGATGCACCTCTTGGAACACTGCGCGCGGCCAACGCTCAGGGCGCAAAATCCCTGAGACCCGCGCGGGATCGCCTCGAGCTGCGCGAACATGCAGCAACGGCCGCGCGGGCGCCCTCGCGCCGACATGGTCGAACGCGCCCGGAGCAAGGGCACCAAACAGCGCCCGGCGCGCACAGCCGCTGCTCTTACACAGGGGGCGACGCCAAGCAGAGCTCTCTCGCCCGCGCGCCGCGCGCTACTCTGCACGTCAGCAAAAGAGGGCGCCCCAAGAACGCGCCCAGCGGCCAATGGTTTGAGCCAGCATAGCCACGGCAAAGGATATAGCCTATGGTTGTTCTGCCCCGCTGCTGCTGCTGCTGCTAATCCTCCTCTCATCCCTCGTATAACATCCCCTGCCGGGCGCCAATGGCTACTCATCGCTGGTTCAACGCAGCGATCGCACATTTCGTGCGACGTCAGGGCGTCGAGCAGGCCTTCTCGGATCGGCGCGCGGAACTCTCTAACAGGCGCACAAGCACAAAGGAAGGGATGAGGCGGGAGAGACGAGGGGAAGGGCGGAATGGAAGCGGAGGATGAGGACGAGGAGGAGCGAGAAGGAGCAGGAGGAGGTAGGGAGGAGGAGCGAGCAGGAGCAGGAGCGAAGGGCGAGGAGCGAGGAGGCGCGAGGGAGGGGGAGCGAGGGAGGAGAAGCCCCCTTTGTGAGGGGGAAGGGCGGCGGCGGCCGCTCCGCGCTCCGCCGCACCGCCGCGGAGACCTGCAGCAGGAGGTCGTCGCGCTCCTCGAGAGGGCGGGGGGGGACTCGTCATCCCACCTCCTTCTGCTGCTGCGCCTGCCCCTTCGCCTCCTCCTCCTCCCTCCTCCTCCTCCTCCTCCTCCTCCTCCTCCTCCTCCTCCTCCTCCTCCTCCTCCTCCTCCTACTCCTCCTTCCTCCACCACCTACCCCTGCTCCTGGTCCTCCTCCTCCTCACCCTTCGTTCCTTTCTTCCTTCTGTTATTTCTGTGAACATGATCCATCGGTGTATCGATACGATTCGTACTGTGCTTGTTATTATTAGTCGTCGTCCGTTTCGTAATATCAGTGCCGTTGGTAATGTTGCACTTCGTGCGAGTATTCGCATTCGTAAACTATGCTTAGTAGCGGTGGTGGTGGTAGTAGTAGTAGTAGTAGTAGTAGTAGTAGTAGTCGTAGTAGTAGTAGTAGTAGGATTAGTGTTAGTATTAGTATTAGTAATAGTAATAGTATTAGTATTAGTATTAGTATTAGTATTAGTATTAGTATTAGTATTAGTATTAGTATTAGTATTGGTATTCGTATTCGTATGAGTATTAGTATTAGTATTAGTATTAATATTCGTACTAGTAGTAGTAGTAGTAGTAGCAGTAGTAGTAGTAGTAATATTCGTAGTAGTAGTAGTAGACGAAGAAGAAGAAGTAGTAGCAATAGAAGTAGTAGTAGTAGTAATAGTAGTAGTAGTAGTAGTAGTAGTAGTAGAAGTAGTAGAAGTAGTAGTAGTAGTAGTAGTAGTAGTCGCAGTAGTAGTACTAGTAGTAGTAGTAGTAAGTAGTAGTAGTAGTAGTAGTAGTAGTAGTAGTAGTAGTAGTAGTAGTAGTAGTAGTAGTAGTAGTAGTAGTAGTATAGTAGTAGTAGTAGTAGTAGTAGTAGTAGTAGTAGTAGTAGTAGTAGTAGTAGTAGTAGTAGTAGTAGTAGTAGTAGTAAGTAGTAGTAGTAGTAGTAGTAGTAGTAGTAGTAGTAGTAGTAGTAGTAGTAGTAGTAGTAGTAGTAGTAGTAGTACGAATAGGAGTAGGAGTAGTAGTAGTCGTAGTCGTAGTCGTAGTAGTCGTAGTAGTCGTAGCCGTAGTAGTAGTAGTAGTAGCAGCAGCAGTAGCAGCAGTAGCAGCAGTAGTAGTATTAGTAGTAGTGGCAGTAGTAGTAGCAGTAATAATAGTAGTAGTAGTCGTAGTAGTCGTAGTCGTAGTCGTCGTCGTCGTAGTAGTAGTCGCAGCTGTCGTAATAGTCGTTGTAGGAGTCGCAGCAGTCGTAGTAGTCGCACTAGTGGTAGTAGTAGTAGTAGTAGTAGTAGTAGTCGTCGTAGTAGTGGTAGTAGTAGTAGTAGTAGTAGTAGTAGTAGTAGTAGTAGTAGTAATAGTAGCAGCAGTAGTAGTAGCAGTAGTAACAGTGCCATGGTCGATCTTATTAATACGATTCGTACGATCAGTATTAGTAATACTAGTAGTAAGTTTACCGCCAGTAGAATTATGTTCGTTGTTACGGAGATGAGTATTATCAATACTAATATTACCACCCCCTTGGTTGGGCACTCGCGTTGCATAGAACACTGCGGTCTCCACTCCTCCTTCTCCTTGTCCTCCCGCCTCCCGCCTCCCGCCTCCCGCCCCCCCTTCTGGTCTCCTCCTGCCTTTTGCGCAAGTGCCGCTTGTGTGTGCGTGCTGCCTGGGGTACCTGTCTCCGACCTCGCCGATCCTGGGAGGCTGCGGTCTGCGAAGCTGTCGCCACTTTTGAGGGCCGCTCGTGGGTCCAGCGGAGTGAGGCACCGCGCGGATCTGAGCGACACCTCGCCGTCCCCGAGAGGCTGCGATCTGTGAAACTGTCGCCATGTTCGAAGGCTGCTGGTGGGTTCAGTGGAGTAAGGCACCGCGCGGATCTGAGCGATACTTCGCCGTGCCTGGGGGGGTGCGATCTGCGAAATTGTCGCCACGTTCGAGGGCCGCTGGTGGGCCCAGCGGAGTGAGGCACCGCGCGGATCTGAGCGATACCTCGCCGACCCTGGGGGGCTGCGATCGGCGACACCGTCGCCACTTCGTTTCGAGGGCTGCTGGTGGGTCCAGCGGAGTGAGGTACCGCGCGGGTCTGAGCGAGACCTCCCCGTCCCTGGGGGGGCTGCGATTTGCGACGATGTCGCCACTTTCGAAGGCTGCTGGTGAGTCCAATGGAGTGGGGCACTGCGCGGATCTTAGCGGGACTTCGCCGTCTTTGTGGGGGCTGCGATATGCAAAACTGCTGGCTCCGCATATCGCAGCCCCGGACTGGCGACATCCGCTTGGTTCCCAAGGGAAACATGCATCTTGAGCAAAAAAGGCTGTTGAAGGAGGAGGAGGAGGAGGAGGAGGAGGAGGAGGAGGAGGAGAGGGGGAGAGGAGGAGGAGGAGGAGGAGGAGGAGGAGGAGGAGGAGGAGGAGGAGGAGGAGGAGGAGGAAGGGGAGAACGAGAGAGGGGGGGAGGAGCACGAGGCGCGACAGGGGGAGGAGCGGGAGGAGCGGGAAGAGGTCTGCCGCTGGCCGCTCTTGGACGCCGCGGTGCCTCGCACGCGGCCGCGGAGCAACAACAACAACAAAAAGGGAGGGAAGAGGGGAAGGAAGGGGGATCGAATCGGCTCGGGGGCAGGAAGCGTCGAGCTCCACAGCGCCGTCTGGGGTCCCTGCATTGCTCGAGGGACCGCAGGAATGGAACTGCAAGCTCAAAACCAGTCGCGGCAGTGCTTATATCCCGCCCTGCCCAGAGGGCAAAAAAAACACCAGAAGAGAGGCGGAGGACGGGGGGAGTAGTTGCGGACAGCGCGGCTGTGTCTCCCCCTGTGAGGCCCCCAGAATAGGTATGCCCCCTGGCTCTCCCAGTCTCACGGCGAGCTCTTGGCTGCAGCGGCTGGAGCCCAATCGAGGTTCGAGGGAAGTGGCCCTCACGAACACATGTGGCAAAACGGGTCCCCCGGCGGCTGCCCCTATCCTTGCGTCTCCCCCCCTTGTGCGCTTCCCTGGCCCAGCTTCCGCTGCGGCGGGCGCCTGTGGGACCGCTGGCGCCGCGGCCCAAAAAACGCGCGCGCAGCACGGACGCACCTGCCCCCCGAGGTTCGGCCAGACGTTGAGGGGAGGGCGTTGTCTCCGTTCCTCCCCTGCGCACACAGGGCCATAAGCAACGGCCACGTCATGGACGAGTCGCCGAAGTGCACTGGCCATTCTGGGCGACCTGGCTGACCACACTTCTGTTGAGAGGGAGAGAAGAAGAAGAGGAGAAGGAGGAGGAGGAGGAGGAGGAGGAGGCGGCAGTCCCTGCGCCGCGGCAGTCCCTGCGCCGCGAGGTGGAGGAGCGGAAGGAGGAAGAGAAGAAGAGGGAGCATGATGAAAGTGGAGGAGGAGGGGGAGGAGGCGAAGGGAAGAGGAAGAGATGGAGGAGGAAGAGGCGGAGGCGCAGGAGGAGAAAGAGGGAGAGGCGAGAGAAGAGAGGAGGAGGAGGAGGAGGAGGAGGAGGAGGAGCAGGGGGAGGAGGAAGAGGAGGAGGAGGGGAAAGAGGGAGAGGCGAGAGAGAAGAGGGGAGGAGGAGGAGGAGGGGGAGGCGAGAGAAGAGGAGGAGGAGGAGGAGGAGGAGGAGGACGAGGAGGGGAGGAGGAGGAGGAGGAGGAGGGGGAGAGTGTGGAGGAGGAGGAGGAGGAGGAGGAGGAGGAGGAGGAGGAGCAGGGGGAGGAGGAAGAGGAGGAGGAGGGGAAAGAGGGAGAGGCGAGAGAAGAAGAGGAGGAGGAGGAGGAGGAGAGGGGAGGAGGGGGAGGCGAGAGAAGAGGAGGAGGAGGAGGAGGACGAGGAGGAGGAGGAGGAGGAGGAGGAGGAGGAGGAGGAGGGGGAGAGTGTGGAGGAGGACGAGGAGGAGGAGGAGGAGGAGGAGGAGGAGGAGGAGCAAGTCCTCCACCGCGATCGCCAGCTGGCGCCTCAGGAGGGCCAGCGCCTCCCCGCGCTCCCGCTCCGAGGCGCCGGCCTGTCCAGGCGGCGGCTGCGGCGGCGGCGACGACGCGGCGGCGGCGGCGGCGACAACGACGGCGACGGCGACGACGACGACGACGAGGATCGAGGACCGAGGACCGAGCTTCGTTTGAGTCTTTTCGCCGTTGTTGGGCCTCCAGGGGGCATCTCGTCGCCAACGATGGCTTCCCCCCGCGGCCCTGGTCAGAACGCACCCCGTGACAGATCTGGCGGGCGAGTCTTCAGGGAAGGCAGCGACAGAGACGACGGAGAACGCGACGACAACGACGATCACGACGACGACGCGACGACGACGACGACGACGACGACGTCGTCCGAGATTTTGCCCCCGACCCCCGAGGACCGAGGCGGAACGTTGCTGGACGTCTTCGGGGAGCTTTTCGGGTACAGGCAACCCGTACAATAAGGATGCGCGGTAAGGATGCAAGGACCCTGGAGGGCCATGTCAACGCTTCTCGAACGAGGTTGGCGAGCGAAAGTCGCTAGGGATGGGCCGAAGGGGCGAGGATGCAAGGGTAACCTTGGAAAGTTGCTCATCCTTACTTCGGCGGTGGACAAGCCTCCCTTTAGTAGACCTCCCTTTAGCGAAAACAGCCTGGGACCGAAACCGACGGACCTGGACCCGCAACAACGGCGGCCGCGAGACGCCCTCTCGCGAACCGAAAACGGCCCATTCCTCAATCGACGTGTCAGGGCAGGAGGTCTGTCCACCCCCGATTACTATGCGGCTTGAGTGCACTCTTCGGAGAGCCCGCACGGAGGCCCGGGGCCTCGTGAGAGTCCAGGCGCAGTGGGCGGCGGGGCGGGCGCGGGGCGCGGGAGGGGAGGAGGAGGAGGAGGAGGAGGAGGAGGAGGAGGAGGAGGAGGAGGAGGAGGAGGAGGAGGGAGGAGGGAGGAGGGGAGGGAGGAGAGGAGGAGGAGGAGGGGGAGGAGGGAGGAGGAGGAGGAGGAGGAGGAGGAGGAGGAGGAGGAGGAGGAGGAGGGAGGAGGAGGAGGGGGCGCCCCCCCGCCGGCACGAGCGGCCGCCGGGCACTGCCGGCGCATGCGGCGGCGCACGGGGGCGCCCTCGGGCGCCCGCCGACGGGGCACCGGGCGAGGCCCCGGCCCGCCCGCCCGAGGCCTCGGGAGGGCCAGGCGCGAGGCCCTGCGGCCAACGCGCACGGGAGGGGTGCGCGGCGAGGAGGCCGGAGCCTCGGAGGGCCAGGTCGGCGCTCGTCGAGAGGGGGGCGCGGCCGGCGGACGCGGCCAGGGATGGGCCGGAGGGGAAGGCGGCGGGGGCAGCCTCGGGGGGCCACACATCCTGACCATCCGTCTTGCCTGTGCACAAGTGCAAGCACAGTCTGGCGAAGACCTCGACCCTTGCGCTTGGACCCTCCGCCCCCTTGGAGGAGGAGGAGGAGGAGGAGGAGGAGGAGGAGGAGGTGGAGGAGGAGGGGGAGGGGGGGGAGGAGGAGGAGGAGGAGGAGGAGGAGGAGGAGGAGGGGAGGAGGAGGAGGAGGAGGAGGAGGAGGAGGAGAAGGAGGAGGAGGAGGAGGAGGAGGAGGAGGTGGAGGAGGAGGGGGAGGGGGGGGAGGAGGAGGAGGAGGAGGGTGGGGAGGAGGAGAGGAGGAGGAGGGGAAGGAGGAGGAGGAGGAGGAGGTGGAGGAGGAGGAGGAGGAGGTGGAGGAGGAGGGGGAGGGGGGGAGGAGGAGGCGGGAGGAGGAGGAGGAGGAGGAGGAGGAGGAGGAGGAGGAGGCGGCGGTGCGCTGCGCCGGGAGCCCGAGAAGGCCTGGGCTCTTGCAGAACATCCAATCCATGACTCCTCCCCGCACGGCATAGGGCACTCACTGTGCCGGCACATCGAATGCTACTTTCGGGGGTGCGGCCGGAAAACCGATCGACTGAGCCTGCCAGGCTTAACACTTGAGAGACACGCTCCGGAAAGGTAAACTTGAGAGACACGTTCCAAAGAGGACTACGGTGAAGGCATCTGCTGAGGTACCATTGGATAAAGGAACCCAAGGTCTGGAAACCGGTGGAATTCCAATCGTGAATTGGCATGGATATCCCCGCCATCGTCAGTAGATTAGGAATCCTCTAGGGTCTGAAACTTCCTGGGCACATGCCTTAAACGAACGCCGCCACCGTAACAGGAAGCGAGGACGAGAACGAACAAAACGACGTAGTCTCCATGGAAAAGGAAGCGGCCCCGACCGGGCGTGCCCAGCTAGAGCGCACAAAGGAGAACGGCGAGCTCGCCCGAAGCACTGCGCGCAACCCACGCCTACACTGGAAAGTAGAATTCAGAAAACTTCGGCCTAAGAAAGCAGGCTCTGCAAGTCTCGTTTTCTCATGGGGATCGAAAGAATAAAACAACAGCGGCTCCAGGAGCGGGTTGCTGAAAAGAAGAAACGGAAGGAAGGGGGAAGAGACGAAACCACACATCTAAGGTTTTCGTAACAGCCTACCCTGGAATCCAGATTCCCAGATATATGCAAAGAGAACTCAGAGTTTGATCGAGAAGCTGTTGTTCTTAAATACATCGTTTGGGAGTCCCTTGAGAGCCGAAATCATGAACCAAAGAGGACATCGTAGAAAAACTCGACCAGAGCCCTGGACCACATCTTTCTCAAGGCCATGTAAGCCCCGACACGCTGGACAGGGACATCCCCAACATCCCTCGAAACCAATTTGTTCCAGACGGTGCCACGAAAAAAATGCCATGCAACACTCCCAACATGAACCTGGACACAAGCCCTCAAAACCTGCAAAAAAGCCCTAGACCTGGACAAAGACCCCAACCATGCAGTGCATCAACAAAAAAACTGCAGTGGACGACCAGGCCAGACGAATTGACAGGAAAGCGTGCCATCTCCCCGGCCTGCCAATGGCCTGGTCAATATGTGTCCTGGTCTCTGGAGGCCTGACTTTCCTGTTTTCTCGCAAAACATCACTGCAGGAGTTTCGGCTACACGCAAGAGCGACGCTGGGTAAGAGTGACCCTTGGTGCGCGGCTTTTGGGGGAGCCGCGCGAGGGCCAAACACAAGCGCGCAAGACGCCACGGCCGCCTCGCGTTCTGCGATCGGGGGACCCCGTGGGCCCGCACCAAAGGTCAGACCGGCGAAGGGTTACTCTTACGTGTAGTCGATACTCGCAGATTATCACTGCCTGAGTTTCTGTTGCAGGTTGGCTTGTACGTTGCTCCCGCTTTGCCGAGCGACGCTTGATATCGCGATGTGGCTTTGCGGCCAATGATGTCTTCGGGGGCTTGACTTTCTGGCTGCAGTTGTTTTGGGCCGGATCGATCCGTGAAGGCCCTGGGGGCCAAGAGAGCAAAAAGTCTCCCGCTGTGCAAGAAAGCAACGCCAGAATCTCAGACCAGTCCTCTTCCCCCAGGTCGCAGATTGACGAGGAGAAGAAGGGGGAGCAGAAGGAGGAGGAGGAGGGGGAGGGGAAGGAGAAGAGAGGAGGAGGAGGAGGAGGAGGAGGGAAGAAGGGAGAGGAGGAGAGGAGGAGGGGGAGGAGGGAGGAGGAGAGGAGGAGGAGGAGGGAGGAGGGAGGAGGAGGAGGAGGAGGAGGAGGAGGAGGAGGAGGAGAGGAGGAGGAGGAGGAGGAGGGAGAAGACCAGGAGGAGGAGGAGGAGGAGGAGGAGGAGGAGAAAACCAGGAGGAGGAGGAGGAGGAGGAGGGAGAAGACCAGGAGGAGGAGGGGGAGGAAGATGGAGGAGGAGGAGAAGGAGGAGGAGGAAGAAGACCAGGAGGAGGAGGGGGAGGAAGATGGATGATGATGATGATGATGAGGAGGAGGAGGAGGAGGAGGAGGAGGAGGAGGAGGAGGAGAGGAAGAGGAGGGGGAGGAAAATCGAGGTGGAGGAGGAGGGGGTCAAGCCTAGACTCTGTAGGCCCCTGCGCAGGGCGGATATGCAAGCGGTCCGAACGCCTCTAGCGACATTCTCGGCCTGCCCGGGGCGCCACCCTGGCACGGTTGTGAGGGGGGGAGGTAGGGCCCTATACACAGAACGTCAGTGCGGGGGGGGGGCTGGGGCGAAAAGGAGGAGGAGGAGGAGGAGAAGGAGGAGGAGGAGGAGGAGGAGGAGGGAGGAGGGGGAGGAAGAGGGAGGAGGAGGGAGGAGGAGGAGGAGGGGGAGGGAGGAGCGCGCGTGAAGGGTCGGAAGGAAGGAAGGAAGGAGGAGGAAAGAGGAGGAGAAGGAGGAAGGAGGAGGAGGAGGAGGAGGAGGAGGAGGAGGAGGAGAGGGTGGGGCGCTCCCCTGGTACGGTGGCGAGGGGGGGGGGGCCCGCGCAGGGGGCCAGGACCGCCAAAAGGAGCGCCAGTGCGGGGGGGGGGTCCTGAGATCGGTCTTCTGCTCGAGCCTTGCTCGAGAAGGGGCCCGCGCAGGGGGCCAGGACCGCCAAAAGGAGCGCCAGTGCGGGGGGAGTCCTGAGGTCGGTCTTCTGCTCGAGCCTTGCTCGAGAAGCCAAGACGAGCCTGAAACTTCTCTGCTGCATCGAACGGCCTTTTTTGAATAAAAATGTCTTGGGTTGCGACAGCTACAGGTCTCTCATGACAAGCTCAGGGGCAAGATCAAAAAGTGCCCATCCGCAGGTGCCGAGGCCGCCCCTGGAGGAGGAGCAGCAACAGCGGCACCCCTCGGATCGGACGGCAGCCGCCGCGAGCGCGCGCCCCTCTGGCCTCCGCCTGCTCCCACGTGACCGCCTCCTCCTGCGGCAGAGGGAGGAGGGCAATGAGAGGGAGGGGCTAGCATGGGGGGGGGGCGGCACGTCGACCTGGAATCGCCCATCGATCGGCGACAGGCCCCCGATGGCGAATCCGCACGCTCCTGGGCGGGGTGGAGCTATCAGGACCCTGTCGGCGATCAATGGGCGATTGGGGGTCGATGCATACCCCCCTGTGCCTATCCCCCCCTGCCCCAGACATGCGACGCCCCGATTCTTCAATACGCGGCCCTCAAAATCCCGACCCTTTCCCTGGGACATGTTTTATCCTAAGTCGGGGATCTTCTGACCCGGGTCTATCCAGACCCGGGTCAGCAGGAAACCAAAAACTGCAGTGCAGGAAACAAAAACTGCAACGCAGAACTTCGCAAACCCGGGTCAGCCAATAGGCGCGGCCGCCTCGCGGCCACGAGCGGCTCGCCAACCCAGGTCAGCCAGAGGGGGTCTTCGCAGGATCCTGCAGGATCTGGCGCTCTGGCTGACCCCCGTTTGCATTGACCCCCGTCTCAAGGCTCCCGACTAAGTCGTTGTTTGACGGTACCGGGGCGTGGCGAGGGCCCCCGGAGGCGGAAATGGCAAAAACAAAATCCAGTCGTCGTGAGCTGCATGACGACACGGTCATGCCTGGGAATGCATCCCCCCCGATCGACGAACGATCAGCGCACACACACACACACGAAGGATTGCAAAAAAACCCAGGATTGCAAAAAAACCCAGGATTGCAAAACAACTCAGGGTTTTTTTTGCAATCCTTCGAACCCAAGGTTTTTTTTTGCAATCCTGTGTTTTTTTGCAATCCGGTTTTTTTTTGCAATCCTTCGTTCAAGTTGGGTTGTTTTGCAATCCTACGTACCCCTAGGAGGGTCCGAGGGAGGACGACTGGCTATGGGTATAGGTGCGGGCTGTCGGGCCCCTGGGGGAGGCTCCCGTTCAACTGGGGGCCCCATCCAGCAACACGCACCCATAGCCCCCTCCGTCCCCCCCTACGGGTATGGGCACTCGGATGCTATTCCTGGGAGGTCAACTTCTGACTTTGCCCTGGTCCGAAATCCGGCTTATTCCAGCTTCAGCTCGATTCGGCTCGTCGCAGCGCACGGTTGAAGGCCAAGTGCGAGTTCAGCGCGGCGTTGATGCACGCGAGGGCGCGCCACAACGAGATCACAGACTGGCCCATATATAGATGTGTGATGCTGCTTGGGATGTACGATGCTGATATATACTTGGGGAGTCGGGAAAGGATTATAAAGAGGAGGAGGACAAGGGGGAGGAAGAGGAGAACAAGGAGGAGAGGAGACAACTAGGATGACGAGGAGCTCAAGCAAGTGGTAGAAGGGACCAGAGTATCAGAAAGGGCCGTAACAGAAAAACATTGTTGTTCGCAACGTCAGCCCCCGGAGGTCTCGACCTCTGCCCCAGGGCTGGCGCCTCGTCCTGAGTCGATCTTGAAGGGTTCCGAGGCCCCGCGAAGGTCCCCACGAGGCCGAAAACAGCAGAACCCCCCGTCGTGACTGTGATTCTTTCACGACGCCCGAGGTCTGCGCTCGCTGCCGGTCGGGGACAATCCTGGCATCCCCCGAACGTTCTCGGCGGGGCGCGGCTGCTGGAGCCCACCTCGAGGCCAGAAAGCCGCCGAGAACCGACGAGAGCTTCCGAAAACTCGCGAGGTACCGACGACGACGCCGCCGCCGCCGACGACGACGACTACACGTCGTTCATTTCTAATCGTGCTCGTGTCTAACTGTGCTCGTTTCCAAGTGTTGCTGGCCCCCTGATGGTCAGGAAGAGGCCCAGGATGGAGCACTCAGAAAGGAAAGGATCTTGCCCCCCCAAAGAAAATCAAAGAACTTCCGAAGAACTAGGAAGGAACAATGTCTACGACAACGCTGAAGATCCACGAGAACCGACGGAAAACGCCGAAGGGCCGCCGAAGGGCCGCGCGACTGGCCGCGGCGCCGTCCCGCAGGCTGCGGCCCAGGCCCTCGAGCAGGCGCTCGAGCCGCCCGGGCGCGGCGGCCGGCGCGGGCGGCGCGGGGGCCCTGCGACGGCGGCGGCGAGGACGACGACGACGACGCCGACGACGACGACGACGACGACGACGCCGGCGGCGACGACGACGACGACGACGCCGACGCCGACGACGACGACGACGCCGACGACGACGACGACGACGACGACGACGACGACGACGACGACGACGACGACGCGGCGGCGGCGGGGACGGCGGCGGCGGCCCTCCCGCGCAGAGGGGGAGGCGCAGAAGAGGGAGCGGGAACGAGGAGGAGGTGGGGAGGAGAAAGTCCGGAAAAGTGTGGGTCGGCGTGGTCGTGGAGTGTTGGAGGCCTGGAAATTGGCACCAACACCAACACAGGGGGCTGCCTCCACAGGGGGATGGTGATCCTCGATTTCGGTGTTGGTGGTAATAGTTCGGTCACCTTGGAAGCCAGAATATTACCACCACCACCGAGATCGGGATCGTCTTCCCTCGGTGGAGGCAGACCGCCGATCTTGGTGTTGGTGTCAACCTCTAGGCCTGCGAGAGTGTCCGCGGGTCTCGCCTCGGGAGGGGAGCTGTGGTCTCCGCCCTGGCCAGGCACGCGTGCCTGGGCAGGTCCTCGCGGCTGGGGCATGCAGGGCCTGCGGGGCTTGGACAGCGGAAGGGAGAAGGGGAGAAGGGGAGAAGGAACAAGGAGGAAGACGAGGAGGTGGAGGAGGAGCAACGACGGGACGACAACGGCACACGACGGTCACGACGACCCCGGCGGTTGCGGCGGCGGCGGCCACGTCGAGGCGCTCCCGCAGAAGTCGACGCCCAGAACCTCTCCCTGGGTGCTTTCTGACCAGAATTTCGAGGCGGGCCCAACCGCGGCGCGGCAACTGGGGCTTCAAAACCTGTGAGCGGCGAAAAGAGACGGGTTAAAAATGACTTACGCGGGCCGCGAGCGTGGCACACCGCGTGGAGACGAGGGCGCTTACCTGCGACCTTACGCGCGCACGTCCGCGCAGTCGACCCCTTCCGCGCAGTCGACCCCCTTCTTCCGTCGCTCAGTTTCGACACAATGGGAAACGGAACCCTCGAACCTCGACCCCTTCCAACCCAAATGCGCTCAAAATCTGGCCCCGAGCCCGTCCTGGGCTTTGTCCTTGCCTGTGCCCCCCCCCCACCCACACGGCCGCGTCTTCACGGCCTCACGGCCCGAGACGAGCGCTGAGAGGCCAACACCGAGGCAGAGCCCCCCGAACGCCTAAGACCTGGGGAACACCGTCGGCCTCGCCCCCCGATGCCCGGCCCCCCCCCCGCGATCCCCAGTCCTTCCCCCCCGGGGATCCCGCCGCCGCCGCTGCGCCGTCGCCGACCTCTTTGGCAGGGGCGGCGCGCCCTTAAAATCGAAAACAGGGCGCGAGCGTGCTGCCGCGACCGCCGCGGGAAAGCAAATCGGATCGGCGCAGGGCGCCCGCGATGCGGCCGCCGGCGCTTCGATGAGGGCTCTCGGATCGCAAGGCCCGACAACGTCGGGAGCGGAGGGGCGGGGAGCGGAGGGGAGGGTGGAGGGTTTCAGGCTCTTTCAGGCACATTCGCCGATCGTCGTCGTCGTCGTCGTCGTCGTCATCGGCGTCGTCGTCGTCGTCGTCGTCGTCGTCGTGTCGTCGTCGTCGTCGTCCGTCGTCCATCGGCGTCGTCACCGTCACCGTCGTTGTCGTCGTCGTCGCCGTCGTCGTCGTCGGCGTAATTGTCGTCGTCGTCGTCGGCGTCGTCGGCGTCGTTGGCACCTCGTGCGTTCTCGGAAGCATTCGCCGGCTCTCGGCGGCTCTCCGGCCTCGGGGAGTGCGCTCTCCGCGGCAGCCGCGCAGCCCCCCGCCGAGGGAGCAGGGCGCCCCGTGCGGGGCGCGCCTCGGAGGAGGGCGTCCTCCGTGGGCCGCCCGAGGCCCGAGCCACAGCGCGAAGGCGAAAAGCCTACTCTGTAAGAACGGTTTTTTGAAGGCAGATCTGCCTTCAAAAAAGAACGGTCGACTCTGTAAGAACGGTTTTTTGAAGGCAGATCTGCCTTCAAAAAACCGTTCTTACATTGAGGGCAGATCTGCCTTCAAAAAACCGTTCTTACAGAGTAGACCAGTTTTTGCGCCTTGGAGAATGAAAACGGCTGTTCTTCGGCGTGTGTCGTGTTCTTTGGCAGTGTCCCGACATCTTCTCGCTCGTCGTCGCTCTTCGTCGCTCGCGCCTCGCAAAAAGCATGAGACGGCTGTTTGTTCGTCGTTTTCGGCCTCGGGGGGGGGGGGGGCCGTCGCCGGGCCTTGGGAGCCGTCAGGAAACGGCTCAGGGCCAAGAGCTGGCCAGCACTGGTGAGAGGCTCGGGACTTCTGGAGACCGCGTACTGAAAGAAGCGAGACGTTGGATGCCTGGACAGGGGAGGGGAAGGGAGGGGAGGGGAGCATGGAGAGACCCTGAGATCCTGGCATCGCATTTTTTCACAGCGGGGGAGTTCGCATTGTTTTCCGGGCCCCAGAGCCCTCATGGATCGACCTGGCTCGACAGATGCTGCAGACAGATGATGTCCAGGGCTCAAGTGGACTTGCTGTACGATGCTGCATGTTTCGTGGCGTCGGATCTCGGGGGAGAGCTACCTGTCTACGAATTACCGTGGCCACCACCCAGGCCAACCCTCTGGCCAACTCTGGCCAGCCCTCCCAGCCGAATATCTGGCCACCCCTGGTCAGGGCGGCAGTTCTTTCCGGAAGACACACTGCCACGAAACACAACACCAGCAAACTGGAAACTCACACGGCTGGACGAAAAGAAACGGGCCTTACGAGATAAGACGTGGCGACCTTGCCGCGGCTTACCGCCGCCAGCGTGGCACACCGCGGTCAGACGAGAGCGCTGACGCGCGACCTCACGCGGAAAGCCTACGCGCGACTGCCCGCACAGTCGGCCCCTTCTTCTTCCGTCGCTCACGTGTGGAACATCTGGAGGCCGCGTGCTGGATA